TTGCTTTGCGGTTGAGGTCCTTGAGTGTGTGATCCGGCACTGTCCAGATTGAAGTTATGTACCACATCATTGAGAAAATTGATGTCTTGATAGTCAGTGCCCGGCCCAACAGGGATATGAAAGTGTTCCCCCACCTGCCCAGTTTGTTGATTTGACTAGCGAGTATGTTTTGGGCCATTTGGGAGGCGAAGCCATCTTTTGTGATCAGGATGCCTAAATATCTTGTAGGTGTTTTTGGTTTCTCCCATGTCATAGCCGCCTCCAGGCCCTGATGTTGGGAGCTTCCTCTTCAGACAACCACCATCCAATGGTTTTTCCCCCGTTGATTTTTATTTCTGAGCCCAATCTGAAGGCCTCCATGGCTCGTACCAATGCACTAAAAGATTAATCTGAGGCTCGCATGAGGACAATCAGGTCATCAGCGAATATTATCACTGTAGGGAAATGAAGGTGGTGGGGTATGCCACTGTGCCTACATTTACTTCTGGTAGCCTGTGGATGGACGGTCCTTGGGCAGGAAGGACGCTATAGCCTCCATTAACAAAGAGGAAGATCGGTGGTGCGAGCGAATCGCCTTGGCGGACTGACCGTGATATTGGATAGCAGTCAGATATCAGGCCGTTAATTTGGACACAACCTATAGCGTCATTGTATAAAATACGAAGCCACTTTCTACAATTTGGACCTACTCCCATCTTTTCCAGGCTTGCATTGAGGAGCGCCCAGTTGACCTGATCATTGGCCATTTCGAAAAGTAAAAAAAAAAGATTGTTGTCTTAATCCTTTTCTCTCTGGCTTTCTTGGCTGCTTCATTAAGGGTCAGTGCGTTGTCAAGTATGTATCTTCCCAGGATGAAGCCTGTTTGGTCTATAGGGAAACATTTATCAGTCACATATAGGATTCGAAATGCTAAAGCTTTGGCTAAGATCTTGTAAGGAAGTTTAAGCAGGGAAATTGGTTTGTAATTCCTTATATCTTCCTTGTCTCTTTTTTTGTATAACAACGTAACCACGCTGCTGCTTAACAGGTTCCCTAGTCCCCTTTTTATCCAACTATCGTTGTAGAAATTTAATAGGTCTCCCCCAAGGAGCGGCCATAACTTTTTGCAGAATTCTTTAGTCATACCGTCAATGCGTTGTGTCATGTTGTTGTTCATACTTCGGACTGCAAACTGTAGCTCCTCCAAAGCGATAGGTGTTCTAGAGAGTGTGCTTGCTCTTGTGAGATTGTTCTGTCCAGGTACTGTAGCATTCTAGTCCTTGCTTCTCTTGTGCTTGGGGGTGTGGGTGTTGGGGTCTTTGTTTGGTAGAGCTCTACATAATATTCTTTTGCTATGTTTAACATTCCCCTGTTGTCTGTTATTGTTTCTGGTTTGTCCGAGAGCATCTTTAGGCTCTCAATTGAGCTGACTCTTGAGTTTGTTTTTATTCTCGCAAAGAAATGTTTCGACATTGACTCACTAAGTTTGGTTACTCTATAAAATTACTATATTAGAATCAATGCTTAGGGGAAAATGTGTCCTTCTACAAGACACTCTTGTCCTTCCACCATAATGATGGGGATCGCACCGGCCGGGAATTGGTTCCAGGGTCCCCCAAAGTACCTGATAGTTCTAGGCTTCTAAAGTATCTAATAGTTCTAGGGTCCCGAAGTGTCTGATACATGAACTAGTTTACGGATAAAGTTCCCAATGAACTACAGTCTTAACCAAGATAGAACGCCCGGTCATTATTGCTGCCTCTGTACCGGAACTTGTGTCAAATACAGCAATAACGACTGGGTGCTCTATTCGGTTGAAAACGGTTAAGAATGGATGAAGTTCACGGGAAACCTCACACGAGGAAGCCGTACATCAAGCAAAAATAAGCAAAGCGGAAACCAAAAGTGTGCCACGATCATAAAGGGGTAAGGAGAGGAGTCCCCTGCTAATATATATATACATATATATATCGTCACAAATATATATATACATACATATTTATATATCATCATATATATATCGTCATAAATATATATATATATATATACGTATATATATATATATATATATATATATATATATATATATATATATATATATATATATATATATATATATGTATCCCTTAAGCAGCAGCGGTCGTGGGGGCGAGGTCCATGATGCGCTGCGCGGTGGATTCGGGTCGAAATTTTGCGAGGGGCAGTGGATGAAGGTGATCGAGGGCAGGGAGTGTGCAGATGGGCGAACTAGAGTGCGCACCGCCGGGGGCGGGGCACAGGGCAGGTGTCGATGCGGATGAACATCTTGGAGATTAACCATCCGATATGCGGGGGCCTTTTCTTATTTTTTCTTTTCGAATCCGTGGTCGCTTGCCGTTTTGTGTCCCCTTTTCTTTTTTTATTTTTTTTCGATCAAGGGCGGGTGAGTGTGCAGAGGGGCGAACGAGAGTGTGCACCCCCGGGGGCGGGGCAAACGACAGGCGTCGATGCAGATGAACATCTCAGAGGCGAGCCATCCGATATGCGGATGCCTTTTTTTTTTCGTGGTCGACTGTCGTTTCGTGTCCCCTTTTCTTTTTTCATTTTTCGCCGCATCTCTCTCTCTCTCTCTCTCTCTCTCTCTCTCTCTCTCTCTCTCTCACTCACTCACACTCACACACACACACATACACACACACACACACACACGTTTCTGAAAACGAGAACGGGAATGAATCTTCCCACGATGAATCTTCCCGCTTTCGTGGGAAGATCCATTCCCGTTACAGTATAGATAATGGAAACGAGCGCGCGCGCGCGCGCTCGAGAGAGAGAGAGAGAGAGAGAGAGAGAGGCGGCGACCTTGATTATTGTCTTTTTTGCATGTCTATAGTAACCGTTTTTTTTTTTCTTCTTTCCATATGTTTTAGAGTAAATCCCGTTTTGTTTTTTTTTTCGTTTTTTTCTTTTCAAATCACGTTTTCTGTCATTGCTTTTCGCC